TTGTTGCTATAGAGGTCTGGAGAGCTGCATTGGTTTGAGTTAGGTTTGCTTGGGGACAAGCAAACGGTTAAGTGTGGGGGGATTTGATGACTCGATATTTGCACATGTTTTCCCCTTTGTTTCTTGATCGTTTAAGATTACATTATCGCTTCTTTGGCCTATTTTACGCTAGGTTGTGTTCCTTTGTCACATTTCAGGTCCTAGCACATAAAGTGAAGCGTAGGCGCAAGTTTCAAGTCAATCGGAGATCAATTGGCGACTCGGGGGAAGAAACTCGGGTATGACTTGAAGAAGATGGATTTCTACCTCAGTTTGTGACCAGTTAATCATGTAATCTTGTCATGAGAAGAAAGAGGACGAGACTACGAGCGTCTGGGATCAAACGGAACCTGATTTGGAGTCCGAACGAGGGAGAAACGAAGAATCAAAGATAGGGGACCCGGAAATGCAAAATACCCGACCATAATACCCTACCGGGTATTTTTGGCCATCTGATAGGGGATTTTTGGCAGCATCAGAAGGCCCCCCGGTCGTGAACCAAAAATACCCGACCGGTACTAAAAATACCCGACCGGGTATTTTTCCTTTTGCCCGGAAGAGTGACCCGGAGCATTTTGTTTATACCCGACCGGTTCCCAAAATACCCGACCGGGTATTCTGACCGGGGATCGCGAACGCAAGCTGTTAAAAGCCTGTTTTGTGCGTTTTTGCAAGGGAGAGCTGGGTTTTGGATCCCAAACACCCAAGGGACGAACCCTAGAAAGAGAGAGCGACTTGGGAACATTCTTGGAGCTATTTTGGAGGATTTCTTCGCCATTGGAGCTCGAGAATCAAGCCCGGACTTGAAGACTGATCATCTGAAGATTCTTACTGCAGTCTCTCTCTTCTCTATGGAGTAACTTCCCTTCACTTAGGTTTTGAGGAACCCTAGCTATGTTTGTTTGATTGGATGATTGTATGAGTACTCTGACTTGATAATCTTGAGTTCATATTCAATCTATGCATGTTTTCACGATTCAATTCTGCTTTAGTCGAGATTATTGATTCTGCTTTGATCCTATGAGAGCGAATACCTGATTAGGTCAATAGAGCACCATAGATTGATAGTAGTGGATCGATTGCTTTAGTCGAGGGTTGATTCACTGCTTTGTATCGATTGAGAACCTCATTCGATAGAGGGAATCTAGTTCAGAACGCCTTGATCGGTTGTTCTAGAGAAGGATACGTCCCTCTAGGCAATTGACTCAAGAGGGCCTTGTTCCTTTAGTCGAGACTCAAGGTCTAGTCAAGGATTCTCCGCATTGTGAATGAAAGTGAAACTAGTTAGAGATCATCAGTCGTTAATCTGGCTAGTGGCTAGGGGGAATCATACCTAAGTGAGTTCCCAACCTGTAATTAGATTAACTTTAACTGTAGTTTGCTAGAGTAGTTTTAGTTCTTTCAACTTAATCTGTTTTGCTAGATAACGAACTGAAGCTGAGTAATAGTAACTCTAGAGACCCGTGGATTCGATATTTATTACTTGAGCCACTATACTGCAGTCCCTTTCATTGGTTACACTTGGCCATTGTTAGGAGTTGTGTTTTAGCGAGTCAAATTCGTACAGAGGTTCGGCTCGGCGGGTTTTGAGGAAAAAACCAAATTTCGGACAGAGATTCGGCTCGACGGGTTTTGAGGAAAAAACCTAAGAAATATTTTCTGATGGCAGATCGGACTTAGCCGCAACCAACAGACTTCTATTTCCTAGGCTTTTGGGAGGGGAGGGTTTAGAGAGATAAAATCTAGAGAGAGAAGGAAGAATGGGTTGTGGTGTGAAGAAATGAGAGGGGAAGGGGGGTATTTATACCCAACAGACCGCACTCTCCAGGGGCGGTCGGATAATTTTGCCCTCATTGAAACCGCACCTTGCCGAGGCGGTTTGGGTTTCCCGAGACTTGACCGCACCTCGGCGATGCGTTTCCCGATCCTTGGCGCGGATCGCTCCGCTGGCGCGCGTTCAGCGCTCAGATCGTGCCCCCATCCAACGGTCTTCAAGACTGTTCCACAGAATCTGAAGACCGCATCTTGGGGCTGCGTTTCTTGTGCTGACGTGGCTTGGAACGCACCCCTAAGGTGCGGTTTATATGTAAAACGCACCTGTGAGGTGCGGTTTACATATAAAACACACCTTAGGGGTGCGTTCCATTAAATTGGTGCTATTTCTGTCAATATTTTCGAATTGGTGCTAGTATTGTATATAAAAAATTAAACGTGCTATTATTGGAAAAATCCCCCAGCCTATTGGATAGAAACGGATTTTTAAAATAATTTAGTTTGTGAGTTACGATAATATTTAATTGTTATGATTATGATAATATTAAATTAAATACTGGTATGGTTTAGTAACTCAGTAGAATAAGAAACGTGTTCCGTGAACTATTGTAGTATACGAGTTATTTGTGTACGATGCTATAGAATTGAACGATATTGATATAGTTAAGTAACTGTCTAATAGGAGCGTGATATGCGAACATTTAATTGTGCTCATGTGTTTTGAAATTTTGTTTTTCAACATATATAAAAATGGATATGGATATCATTGTGTAGTTCTCATATTTTTGATTTTTTTACCACAAATATTTAAATTCAGAGTTGAAATGAAATATATACGGATCAATTAAGAATAGTAGGGAAATTGAAAATGAAGAGAGTGTGTGTGCTAGGTGGCACATTCTACTTGGATTATTGAAAAACTAAAAGGAAAAATTTAATAAAAATTAACTACATGTCAATTTAGACCGTTAGATCTCGAAGAAGAAAAAAATTAAATGAGCTAATTTGACCATAGTTGTAAGATCATGATATGACAATGGTGAGATTGTATTATAAAGTCTTACCATAGTTATATGATAGTGTAATAAGATAGTACGAAGACTTATCTTTGAGCAAGAAAATCGATGTCATCATACCAATGTCATATCACGATAATATCATTATGGTATTATTATATTGGCAAAATACACTTGTATAGCCATAACTTTCACGTTTGTGACAAATATAGCCATAACTATCCGAAAACACAAAATAGCCAATTCCGTCCAATTTGTTAACGGCGTCAGTTGACTGTATGACTTGGACTAATAGAAGAAACTGAGTAGGCGATTGATTTACCCACAAACCGACGTGGATTTAAAGAAAACAAATGATAAAAAATAAAAATTAATTAAATTTTTTATTTCTCTCTCTCTCCTCTCTTCTTTCCTCTTCGTCACGAACGATGTTTCCCTCTCTTCTCAATTGCTCTTCCATTTTCCGTCAGATCGCAAAATCATCTGATCTGTGTTGGTGAGGAAGTCCGCTTCGATTGTTGGAAGGGATGGAAGCGGGCTTAATTTTCAGCAGCGCATATGGGGAAATTGATGGACATTGGGGATCTGGGTTGGTGACAAAACGATGGAGGAGGCGCAGCAGATCTGAAGATGGGCTGGGGAAGATGGGTTGGGGATGCAGCATCGAGAGTTGCAGCTACGACGTGGTCGGGCACTTTTTAGTGATCTCGAATTGAGCTCTTCTTTGAGTTCAAGGATTTCTCCCTTCTTCGTCGTTGTATCTGAAATTTGTGAAGAACTGAAGTTTTGAACACCTTTCATCTTTGTCTCCCCGTAATCGCGACGCTAGGAGGGGAATTCCCCCGTTGCCGTCAACACCAAATCACAGTAATCGCTCCTTGCAGGGGAAAGGCGCGGACGAGCTTGAGAGCGTGGGTCTGGGAGGTGCGGCTGTGGCGGACCTTGTAGACGATGCCGCTGTTGTCGTGGTTGAGGACGGAAAGCTTGTCGAGGTCGGAGGAGAGAAGGAGGAGGAGGTCGTAGAGGTGGTGTGGGCGGAGGGAGGGGGACCGGGAAGCAAGGGCGGTGGTCGGTGGAGGTTGAGATAGCAGCGTTCGCGGTCGGCGGCCATTCAGGGGAAGAGAAAGATGCTTCCTTCTCATTTTCAGTTTTCAAATTTTTTTGTGTAAGGATAAGTTATTTAGTTTATTAAATTATTTATTTTTAAATTAAAATATGACATGGCACCTATGTGGTAAGTGTAGTTGATGACGTGTGCGATGATTTGGCATCCTAGTCAACCTAACATTAATCTAACTGACGGAGTTTCTAACACCGTTAAAGTTTCTAACGGAAATGGCTAGATTTGTCACACGACCATCCAATTTCTTGGCTATTTTGTGTTTTCCGATAATTATGGCTATATTTGTCATAAACGTGAAAGTTATGGCTATACAAGTGTATTTTGCCTATTATATTAACAAAGTGATAATATCATGATATGATAGTGATGTGATACTGTTGTCTGTCTTACCATAGTAGTAAGATCATGGTATAATATTTATAAGAAACACATATTGCTCATAAAATAACAAAATTGATATCATTGTCTCGATCTTAATTAATGTATTCTTTTTATAAAGTATTTTCCCCCTTTAATTTTAAATTAAAATGAAAGAGATGTGTCATCATATCACTGTCATATCATATGATGATATGATAATGATAGTGGTATAACCAACATATGTTTTAAAGAATTCATTTTTCTTTGCCCAAAATACAGCAAAATGAACATTATTGTGTAAATCATAATTAGTGCATTCTTTTTATATAATTTTTTTTGAATTCCAAGTTAAAATGAATGAAATAAGACACGATTAAAAAAAGGAATTAAAAAAATGGTCTTCTCACTTCGCTCCTAATCTAAATTGAGTTTTGTAGTTTTACCATATCTTTTCCTTTATAAAAATAATCCCTAACATAAACTTAATAATTAACATGATGAATTGATGATAGTCCAAAATTACAACCAATACATACATTTTTAATGATAAAATTGTCAAGAATTTGTGGAAGGGGCTCGCGGAACCAAACTGCAACGGGAGGCTATCAGAATCAAGATTGAGCCAGATCACTTGTGAAAGTAAAATTTAATTATGTTTGGGAGAGGCTTTGGATGATACTGGACTCTGTAGGTAATCGAGATTAATTAATAATAATTTAACAGTAGAAAATAGAGAAACAGTAAGAGTACTAATATCAATCTGGACAATGAACAACAAACGTTTATCCAATTCCATTAACTATGTCCAATCATGTTAGAATCTACCGTAACAATAACATGAATAATAATAATGGAAGCACTCACGATTGCCGAGCAAATAATTCACAAACGAGCAAATCATCCATGGCTGCTGCCGAAGTGCCTACACCCAGCACCGGAACAACATTGCACAAGAGCTCAGCCGTGTAGCCTGTCTCAGCTAGGACGTCTTTGAACATGAGGGACACAGCCTCTCCTTTCAAGCCGAGCCCGGTTGGTAAGTACACTCTCAAGCTCTGCACAAGAGGGTCGATGGAAGTTTGCCAAGATTATCTACCAGTATAAGAAAACTACACGACAGGTAATAATGAACATACTCAGCAGAGAGTACGATACTAACCATTATGTCTTGCCAGCAAAAATTATTCTCAGTAACGACTTCGTCTAGCAGATAGATACAGAACTGCAAAACCCTCTTCAGATGAAAGTTCATCGGAGGAACTTGATGACGATCGTTTGTTTCAAGAGTCTTGGAAACTATCTTGGCCGCGATATCTGTTGTTATAGATAACAGAACTGCACATATCTTTCCACTTATGACACATTTCTGAATGCAAGTATTTTGCCAGTCTGCTCGCTCAAATCCCCAGCTCTTGGGGGCTATGCTGGGAGATAAGCTTTTACCATCAGCGACCTCCTGGCTTTCAATGTCTTCTTCGGGGACAAAAAGTGTGGGCTTTACTTCTACAAATGATCTGCAACGGGGCAAAATGGTAACTGAGCAACATTGAATAGGCCATCGCAATAGAGGTGGCCATTGTGATGTCGATCATGAAAACTTGTCATACTGTTTGATCGTTTAAAGAGATTCACTTTATACTTGTGATCAATATCCAAGCAAAGCATGAAATGTTCAAAAATGAAGAAAAAGAAAAGAGCACACATGAGAAATTTTCATGTAAAGAGAGACCCACGCTATGGAGAATAGATACTGGGAACAATTAAAAGTCTACCTCTTTGGAAGATCAGGCACAAGAACATACAAAACTGTAGGCTCCAGAACTTTGCACTTGCTCCCTCCATCTATTTGAGAAAGTCTCAGTTCTCGAGAGAAAGATTTTTGTTTATCTGCGATTGCTTGCCGCTCTGATGTTGGAACATGACTCGAACAGTAGACAATAAATGAAATGGCGGAGGTGGATAAGGAACACTTGAAGCATTTTGCCACTGCTTCACTGTTTTTTAGTGCTTGTTCCAGCTCAGCAATAGCACCGCCACAGCTAAGAGTCATAGTGGGAGGGTCAAGCCCCAGCTGCCCAGCCATATAGAGTATCTCCTTGTGCAAAGTTGCCTAAAACAAATGAACTTATTTACTTCAACCATAAGTGTAAAAGAAGGAATAACTAACACTGTAATTGATAGAAGAAAACAGGATGGGGACTAACATGGTACCTGGCTATACGGCCCGATGCAACTTGGTGCCCAGGAGGAAATACTTTGAACATGTAAAACATTTTTGCTTCTATCATTTGCCACTAGAACTTCAACATAGGCTCTCCCCAAGTCAACATGCAACAAAGGCAGTTCTATCGTGCTGCGGGATGGAACCCCAAAGGGACACTTCTCCTGTGTAATAAATGCCACATATGTCTCATTTGCAATAGCAAATTCATTCATATCAGCAATATAGAGATGGATGTATAGGACATGCCCCCAGCCAAACCCATATACTGCCAGCTCAGATTCAATGTGCTTAAGAATAATGCTAAGATCTTCCTTCAGACCTGGAAAGCAAGTGGCGCAGAACTCCATAAATAAGGACACATGACCACCAGTCTGTTGCAACTTGAGAAAGAAACTGAAGGGAAAAGGTTACTTGGATTGGTTTATCCTCTTAGTTCTGGCCTTTTTACCTGCAGAAGTTTTTGATGAATCTTGCAACCAACATGAAATTGAAAAGGTGTTTTCCTTCCTAGTTCTGGAGATGCAAAGCCGATTGTCTGAATGTGCAATGGAATCAGTGCTGCAAGCAACAGCTTGGCAAGTGTTCTCACTTTCTTCTGAGCAGTCTCCCTGCACCTCAAATACAGAACCTACTTCTTTCTGAGGGAACTCAAGAGTTTTATCACTACCGTGCATAAAGACGGGCTCTCCCTTCCTCTCCAAATGATACTTCGAGGGGTGGAGAATCCCCACTGGAGCAATCGAGTCTGGAGAGGCTAAGAAAATTTGAGATTCGTCTAGTACAATTCTGGCATTCTGAAAAAGTCAGCGGACGTGAAGATATGAGAATTCAAGTGGCCAGGCTCTATGAGATATGAAAGGAGGATGAAGATAGGATATAATGTGGGCTTGAGTAGGGGAAAAAACTGAATAAAGATCTGAAGATGATAAGCCACAAGAGTAGACTTACTGTGAAGAGTGGGCAGTCAAGTGTCAGTGTCTCATATTCGCCCCCTTCACCACAGACATTAATACCATACAGGCTGCAAAGGTCTTAACCAAATAAGAGCGTAGATAAACCTAATTTTTTTTTTGAAGAGAAGAATTGCAACAACTATAAGCGAACACAAGAAAATAGAAAAGTGAACCAGACGCACTCTTTCAACTTATGGAGATGGGGCTTCAGAAATGATATTTCCTTACCCAAATGCTTTCCAGGATCCAACCCCATGGCTGCCACCTATATTAAGTAAGGAGATATCTTTACATACCAACCCACAACAGCAATGAATAGGTTTGAAAACAGTAATGAAGGGATTCCTTTCACTCCTAGTTCAAGAAAGAATGGCATCGATTGTAAACTAGAAGCTGTCGAAAATTTCTACAATTACAGGCAACTTTACCTTCACAGTAATAGCCGCTATCTCATTCGCTATCTGGTAGGAGGAGGAACAATAAAACAAAGCAGAAATCCATCATGAATGGGCAAATGACAATCAAGAGGAACCATCTAAGAAAGTAAACTCCTATCCAAATATTGTCTGAAGATGGAAAAAACTATTTACCATTTCATCAAGGAGCACCGACTGATCCTGTTTCCATAAATATGCTAGAGAAACGAGCCCTAACCTTGAACAAATACTTTCTACTCGTAGCCTCTGGTAATCTGATGCAATTGCACCAGAAGACACAGCAGTAACACTAGGGATCTGCCTCTTAACCTCTTTCAACAAAACAAACATATCTTCAACCTCATCGCCATGAGTCATCTTGTAGTTCAGCTCTTGATGCCTAGATGACATAATCAATCAACATACTTCCATTATCAAAACCCACATTTCTTCACAACCCAATTTCCCAGTCCCCTCCCTTCATCAAATCATCCATAAACCTCACTAAAACAACATAGTAGTCAGTAAAACTTGCCTGGTAGTTCCCTTTATTTGCCTTCTAAACAAAGGCACACCCATGCATTCAGCATAACTGACTATGATCTGGTGACCAACCTAACAAAAACAACTACTCAAATCAATAAAAGAAAACCCATGATCAAAATCGCAGGGGAAGTAGTGAAATTGAAGGAAGACTTACAGTTTGATACATGTAGCTATCCAACTCGTCGACTGTTATATCGGCCGGCATCAAGTTTGCCAACGCCACAATCTGCGAGCTAAACGAATGAGGAAGACAAATTGCCCCGAGCAAGGAAAACAAATAAGGAAAATAAAAGGTGTTTTCTTTTTCGTCGCAAACGAACAAGGAGCTGACCTCGTGACCATACTGGATGCACTTCATCATGGCATAGCAGCTATCCTTGCCGCCGCTGACCAGAGCAACTACCTTCATTCTCGGCGGTGACTGTTAAGCCGACGTTTGTGAAGGTAGACCGGAAGGGATGCAGAGTTGGGATTTCGTCGGTTTGATGGCTTTTGCTTTCAGGCTTCAGCGACACGGGTGGCTACCGATTGCCCTTCTCTTCTGTTAGGTCTGCCGCTGACTCGTTTCACTCTGATAAGGGTAAAACACCAGGGGGTCGTTTGGATGCAGGTCTTTAATTTGACGGATTTGTGTGGGATTTGCGTCAAATCACTCTTGGCTACAAATATGGCAGTCTGAAATGAGAATGTAAAATCACATAATTACCCTTATTTAGTCTCCTATTTTGTCTAACCCATAGGCAACAACTCAAGCATCCTGGTTGAATGAATGTAATGCAGACCATTTGCAGTAAATATTAATATGCAGGTTATTGCTTCTTTATAGTTAAGGAAGACAGTTAAACAAAGTGCAGATGATACCCCAACCGTGATACCAAAAAGAACTGGAATCGACAAGGATCAAGAAATTGAAAATGAACATGGTTATTCTTTTTGGTAGTTTTATACACTGCAACCTTAACAGATTGACAGATTAAAATCAGATTGGCAGCAACCTTGAACAAAGTGCAGATGAACATGGTTCTTCTTTTTGGCAGTTTTATATACTGCAACCTTAAACAAATTGACAGATTAAGATCATATTGGCAGCAACATTATACAGTCAAACAGCCAGTCAGCCACCAATCATGTTCAATCACATTGGAATCATAATCCCTTCAAAAAGACCTTGCCTACAAGCTGAGATTGCTTAATCTAATAACTGTTCTCAACCTAGCAGCCCTCTCACAAACATCATCTTGTCTAATATGTCTTCAAAATGGTAGAACTTCATCAAGGACACGAAAATTGCAGTTTGAAGAACATATATATGTGCACTGTAGTATTGTTGCGGTATGAAAACTTAGGTTGGTAGAAATGTATTCACTACGGTTGAACCACTCACAACCAAGCTTACAAGGCCATGAAAGTTGCGGCAATTCTGCCAAGTAATCAACTTTCCTAATATGTTTGACTGGACAAAGTAAGTCATGAAAGCTTTAAAACCCTCAAAACACAAATCTATTTCTGCTCTCCTTCGCCAAACACCAACAAAGCAAGCCATAAAACCCAGAACCCAAAAGATTGCGATTGAGACGAAGGCATCACACCAAAACAAGCCAAGGAGGAAGAACAGAGAAAATGGATTTCGCAAACTCACCTGCCGGAGAGTTTTTGCTGCTCGCTAATGTTCTCCGGAGCCGAGTTTTTGCTGCAGCCTGCAAATTTCCTACCCTCCGAAGCTGAGTCGCCGCCGGTTAGCACTCCTCGACAGCAGCTGGTTTGTCTTTCCGCTCCTTCGTTTGGGTTGCAGTAAAACAGAACGAAGGGTTCTGCAAATTGATACAGAGACAGACAGTAATTGAAGGGTTAATAGCAAGGTTGTCAAACCGGGTTAAGTCCTCCAACCGTTTTTATAAGAGGTTTGAGGTTTAATGGTTGGATCGGGGTTCGACCGGATTGAGCGGGGTTCAACAAGATATATGGGTAATTGATATTGTAGAGCCATAATTCCATCAATCAACCTACTGCATCAACTCCTAATTTAGAAAAAAAGTTCTAATTAACAAACACAACAAGCAAAATTCCATCAATCAACCTGCTGCATCCCATCTAATTAACAAACACAAAAGGGTTCAATGCTCTTTCTTGCTCCCTTGCTCGCTTTCACTGGAGAAACACCGAAACAAAACCAAATTCATGGATGTTCTTTTTCAATTCTTAAAAGAACTAACCAATTTATGTTTATTTAAAATGCAGTGCACCGCTGCATATTAATCACCATAAAAGTCGAAACTAACAAAATGAAAAGCTAATTAAGCACCAACTGGAAAAGCTCGGAGGTAACGTCGAGGCAGCGGCGGGGAGTGGCGTCGAGGCGGGGAGCGGAGAGCTGGGTCGAGGCGGCGGCGAGCGGTGTCGAGGCAGGGGGGAGCTGGGTCGACGCGTGGGGCGTGGAGCGGCGGTGAGGTGCTGGTTGTGGCCTGTGGGATGGCCTCGCTCGACGGACAAAGGAAAAGCAAGGAGGGAGGCGATGGTGCTAGGGTTAGAACTTACAAGAAGCTCCATGACCGGGCAAAAACGATGCCGCTTCCTTATAGCCGGTAGCCGGGTAAGTCCGGTCAGACCCCGGTTTTGGCCGGTTTTGACCGGCTTTGACCGGGTACCGGCCAGTTCAAAATATGTCTGGTTCTGGCCCTTTTTTTGCCTGGTTCCGGCCAGACCCGATCGGAACCCGGTTTGACAACCATGGTTAATAGAAAGAAGGGTTAAGTTGGATTTTCAGAAAATACGCATGTACATATATGGAACAAATTGGCAATATATTGAGAGATTTCAAAATAGATGATGGTCATTAGCTATTTCACAATCCCACATATGTGGGTTTCTGAAATTCGAAATGGTTAAAATTTCTTATAAAAAAACAGTTTGCCAAACGAGTGATTTTAATTAAATTCCCTCATTCTGAGGGATTGTGCCCAAATCACTCAAACAAAACCCTTATCCAAACGACCTCCAGAGGGACTTCCAAGAGAAGACCACTGAACTAGCTTTTTGGAGGGTTTCTTTGGTCCTTCCGGATACGGGCAACGGATTTGGGCTTTAAGCATTTAGGATTTTTTGCCCTAAGTTAAATAGTTATAATCAAAATTGAAAAGTTTGTATGAAATTTTCAAAAGTACACATGTTTTCACCAAATCGCAGTCGGCAAAGGCGATCAATCCACAATTCGTGTACGAGTAAAGCAATTTAGTTAAGATTGCTTTCCGGGAACGCGATCAGCGCGGATCGCTAACATGACAAATGATAAATGATCGAATTGCTTTTGGCGGATGCAATCCGCATTAATCGCTTCCGTGTGATGCGATTGGTTGTTAGAATGAATCAACTAATAGTGTGTTGATATATGAGAATATCTGGTTAACACTAGTTCAGGAATTCCTACGCTCAAATAATCTGACACTGAGTCTATACGCGATCGAGAGAAAAGGTATAATTAACTTGGGGGATTTGAAGTATGAGCAACACCTCTCTCTGCTTGAGTTTGTCTCCTGACCACGTTTGCCTTGGCTGAATATCGTTGTCTTCTTAGTTAATTGAACAAAACTGAAAAGAGATCGGTTAAATAGTAAGAAATACAACTCAGTACTAGTAGTCAACAATCTCCGACTCTCTGTGGAATACGACCTTAGTTGCCACTATATTACCCTTACGCAAGTTGCACTTAGAATTGGACGATCACTCATGCATTTCCTTCCATAGATCTCATCAAGTCAACGGAGTTTGACCTCATCACTAATTTCTCGGGTCATAGTTCAACGCAAGTTGAACTATTTTTTGTGCCAGAATCTCTCATCCAAACGCCCCCTAAGATGTTTGCAACATGACAACCCACCTCTACACCATTTGATTCCTTCTCTTTCCTTTTTTTTTTTTAAAAAAAATTGACGATAAAGATAAGGTTGAGGATAGTGTTGGAAACAATAAATCGTACCACATTGTATTGTAACCCCCTTCCGTTTATGAATGCACATATTTCCCTTTCTCATTCAGCCGAACCCTAAAGTTCTCTTTGCTTCCCATGGCCGACGACACCCGCTGCTCCCACATCCTAATCCTCATCCACACCCACTACTCTCACATCTACACCCGGTACCACATCCATTTCCCTCACTCTTCACCATGTCTTGCATCAACCCTTCACGAACCCTCTCCCTTTCGTTCCTCATGCCGACAATATCAAACCTAAAAATGAAAATTGGCCAGACCCGCCTCTGAAGGGTCAACTTATATAACTAACCTCCGTCACCCTTGTTATCTTCTTGACCATATATGACCTTCAAGGATCGGGCCATGTCAGGGCGGGTCGGGTCTATGGGTCGACCCACATCAATACACTAATTTTTAAAATTTCATTTTGGTACCCAAATTTATTTTGTCTTACACTATGTACCTAGATTTTATTTTTTACAAATAGGCCCATATTTTTTGGTGGTAAAATTATATTTTTATCTTGCATTATAGTATCTAAACTTTTAAGACTTTACAAATAGGTCAAATGTGTTGGTATGAAAAATTTTATATCACTAGTTTGTTGCAATGGGTTATAGGGTCAAAAACTGACCCAACCCTATATTAAACCGACCTTACCCGACCCTACACTAACCCTGTAGACAAACTAATCCAACCCGACATCAATTAGGGTGGATCAATGGATTTTTAGGGCCAAACTCCTAATCAAGCCTCCACTAGCCCTTTCCCAACCGAGAGATACTTTGATTTTTAGGGCCAAGGTTACCCATTCCTAACTATAAATGATTTCAAGTGAATTAAGTTGATAACCCCCTAAATGAGTGGTTTTAGATCAGAGAAGCACAGCTAGGATTCAATTCAAGATTGAATCAAAACTTGGTGAGAAAGAACACAAAACAAGGTCTTGTGCTCGTGTTTGGGATGGAACCTTTTCGTGCAACTTTCACGATGGGAAAGAGGTTCGATTGGTGTCGTCGATGCTTGGCCATGAACAAGGTGAGTACTTGAACGATACAAGCTCAAGATCAGACCTAGATTCGGCTAGGTTGATCTCTCAATTCACAAGACAAAACCTTATGAACGCAAACTCTCGGTTTGTTATTCAACTCCATGAATTTTGAAAATTACAACGAATCAAAGCTTCTTAAATAGGCCAATCCTACTACGCTTAGAGAAGTCCTAAAAATATTACAATTGGAAAAGGAAATCAAAACCAACAATGAAAAGGAACTAAACACAAAACAGCAAAGGAATCCTAATCCGATAAGGATTCGGATTTCCTGGTTTCCAAAGACAGAAACTCAGATTCGATACGATCTTTGGAGCTTTCGTTCGAGGCCTTCCATTCTTCATTCCATTCATCCAACGTCAGGTCGTTGTAGTAGAAGAAACCTACTTTCATGAGGTATGATTCTTGAAGCTCGACTCTCATGCCATCCCTTCGATTGAGGCTTACAAAGTTCCTTCACGAAGTCGTTCCAACACTTAGAATATTTCGGCAGTTTTTCCCATGTTGAGCTAGCAACTTGATCGACCTGGAAATCACTCTTCTGGGCTTCCTCTCGAGCTCCAAAGCACATCAATGGAAAGATAAACTCTTCATCTTCAAAACAATGCCTTAAACTCGAATTTCCATTAAGCCAATAACAAGTTCCCGATGTGCAAAGTTGGCTACCTGAAACTATAAAAGAACTTAGCCAAAATTCAGTGTTCTTTAATGTACTTTGACTTACCTTCTTGATCAATCAATTCTAGCTTGATGGAGGGCCAATTGGGATCATATCATAAGTCTTTCAACTGCTTCTTCCCTACTAATTTATATGTTATTGATGGTTCTTCACTTTTCTCATGTATTCTATTAAAGCCGGCATAACTGACATAAACTGGTTGTACCACAGATCGTACTATTCAACTCGTCAAACCGACATAACGGTACAAACCGATTTGAGAACCATATTCATTTTCTTCTTCTTCTTCTTATTATTATTATTATTATTATTATTCACTTATAAATGCCAGATCTTCATCCTCATCCTCGTCGCTTTCGTACGGATGACCCGAGTACTACTTATCGTCTGTGGGAACGTCCATACCGTCACCACCAACATCCTCATATGACAATACTCCTATAGGTGATCTAGATGGCTTATGTCTAGATATCTCAATGCTAGTTCATTATCCCAAATTGGCCATTAAATGTAGTCAGACTCAACAAAACTTCCAACATAAACAAGAGCAACACGATCACCAAAGTTTGTCCATGGTATCCCATCTCCCCCAATACTACCAGAATGACGTAGTTGTCTAGTAATCACCTCCTTCTGCACTACCATAGTGGTGAAAAGAAGTTGCACCACCATGGTAGTCATAACTCGCTCCACTCTCACCACCGACGACCTCAATGTCCACATACACTTATGCTTTCTCAAGTTTCTTTTCAACTTATGATGAAGTGCAACATAATGTTAACCCCGTCATACACCAAACCGCCTTCACTTGTATTCGGATACGATGAGTAATTTTCACAACTCTCATCTCCCCCATGCAAGTATGATCCACACCAATTTGATAGAGTTCTTCCCCCTCTTAATTACTTTGTTCTCAATACTCACCCTATTGAATTCGCCATATCTTCGATTTTAGAAGAACTAAGGATCACATAAAACACAACGTAACCTAACCTCTAAAATCTACATTGAAAATTTGAATCTATCATGCAATGGACATACAAGCACAAATATATTATACAATCTAGGTTAAGCCAAATAATTAACATAATTGATACTATCCCTAATTAGTAAAGCCCAAAACATAACTATTGTCCAGTCAAATATAATTACTAATAAAATTTAATTTGTTCAAACCGAGTGGACTTCTAATTTGGTTATTTCCTAGCTAAAGGAATGATTATATAATAGTGTAGGCCATCGATTTGAACTAGATGGCATCCAGTCCAAGGGGTTCAACTCTCAAAATTGCCTTCCAGAGAACAAACAAATTAATAATATATTCATATATAGGTGGTTATTTCGGTCGCACCCACAAAAATAAGTACATACAAAGCATCCAACTCTAAAAGTAATTTAAAGACATCGAATTTTGAATTTTAATTAGTAGCATTAGTCTGATATGACGATATAACATATGATCACAACTAATCAATCCATTACCCTAATTTCTAAACCTTCAATTTTCAACACAAACCCAAAATCCCAAAATATAAATCCTAATACTAAATCCATAAACCCTTAATCCTTAAAAATTGAAGTAAATCTTGAATGAGGTTTTTCTTGTTCATCATATCACAAGTGACGATCAATAACGTTTTAACACGAATCAAATGCTCGAAATGAAAATCATATATATTAATTAATGTGTGACTAAGAATAGGAGTGATAAAAGATTGATTCTAGCAGCCAAGCTAAACCAACGAGCACAAAGGGCCCTGCCGGAAGAAATTTAGTTAATTACACTAGTTTTTTATCTGGCC